AATTAATCAGTTTGGAGAAACAAAAAGAAAAGAGGAGAAAAATCCCATAGAAGAAATAGTTGCCAATGCCCCTTTTGATTGCTTTAGTTTTTGAGGTTTAGAGCCATGGCCGACGATCTGTGTTTCTTCTTCAGCAAGGTCAGTGTATCTTTTTTCCCCCTTTGGGTATGTTTAGCTGGTTACGTTGTTTTCGTATCCAGTGATATTGAAGATTCTTTTATTATTATTTTTTATTTTAGAGTGCCATGTGAAATATACTTTATTTGGCTTTCTGTACAACGAAAACTCTTTTTTTTTTTTAAATTAAAACACGCACGATTTTAGGGGGGTTTGTTTCCTTTTTATCGCTTCATTATGATACAAGCAACTCCCAGATTTCATTTTCATGAAAGATGTGTGTTCTATTCTTGTAGTTTCGATGTTGATGTGTTTTTTTTTTCACGTGAAACGTGATTAATCAATTAATTAATGTTCAAATTTGATTAAACTAGTGTCTTGTTCAGCACACAGCTGAGATTTTCTAGCTAAATTAGATCAGGCTTTAGTGCTACAGAAGTACCCAGACCATATCTTTCCAAGAGCCTCATTGAATGATTATCATCAGTGAGGAAATGGTATGTTTTCTTTGTTTTTAATAACTGGGTAATTCTTTAAATTTCAGGATTCTTTCGCCCTAAAATTGCCAAAGAAGTCTCCGTTGGTGTTGAGGATGGTTGTGTTGTTTGTAATGGTTTGTGGTGTCTATATATGCTCGATTTGTTTGAAGCAAATTAGCACTAACTGCACGTCTGAGTTCTTGAACATTGGAGTGATCCAAAGCCGTGTCCGGAACCTAATATCGAGCCATGGGAAATTCCTTACGTGCACCATCCGAACCCCGAAACTTTTAGCAGGTTCGAAACTGATTTTATTGCTCCCGAGTTTTGTTTTGTTTTTTTATGACTTAATTATGAGCTTTCTTGTGTGTGATTAGGGCTGAGTGTGCGCAATCCTGTCCGGTATTTTGCCATTATGTCGATGCAGAGATCTGGGAGTGGATGGTTTGAAAAGTTGTTGAACAATCATACTAACATAAGCTCGAATGGGGAGATATTCTCGGTCAAAGTTAGGAGGAGTAATGTGTCGACAATATTTGAGACTTTGGACAGAGTTTATAACTTGGACTGGTTGAGCAGTGCCTCGAAAAATGAGTGCAAAGCTGCAGTTGGCTTGAAGTAGATGCTTAATCAGTTAAGTTTTCTTTCATGGCAGAAATGTAGCTTCTAAAGTTTAGTCGCAATTTGCTAACATTGTTATAACAGAAATCTGTGTCCTTATTGAAATGCCTTTACATTCTTTGCCTCACGAGTCCGAACGGGAATTGAGTAACCTTTTAAACTAAAAAATGGTTTACCGTATTGGCTATACAAAGCAGTATTTATTACAGTTAGATTCATATTAGGAATGGCTAATATAGTGGGTTGAAGCGAACTCTACATTCAGTTCGTTGAGCATGAGCAGAAGACACCCAAAACGTCCTTTATATTCATAGTTACACCTGTGCTTATAGTATTATAGTCTTTTGGTGACTGCAACTTTGAAACTCAATGGTTTCTAGAGCATTGTCTTGAATTGATCATCTCTTTTCGTGTTTCTTTTTTTTCTTATTCAAATTTATCCACAATCTTTGTTTCTAGCTTCATTTTTTTGCAATTCTCTTAGCATTCAGATGTATTTGCCCTGCAATTAGAAACACAGCCCCTGTTGCTACCCAAAAGTATGACCACCCTAGCTTGTTTTCCCAAAAAAAAAAACCGTTCATCCTATTCATTTTGTTATTATTCCAAAATACCACCAATCAAATACATTCCTAATCCAGCCAATGGCTTTCTGTATAACTGCCACTAATTGGAGCCTTATTAGCATGTAGACACTCTTTTTGACTTGGACAGCATGTTCCAGTTCTTTTTGCGTGAAGTTGGGTATGATTATCAGATACCATATATTATTTCACATCTGAGAATAATTTAGGGAATAACTCTTAAGTGCCTCACTAAAGAGAGAAGTTGCATAAGCTCTTTGTACTTTTTGGTTTTATTCATTTTCTAATGAGAAGCACAATTATTGGAAAATATTTACCATTGTATTGATGGGGAGCAACTATAAAATTTTGTAATCTTGAATGAATGCATTGGAGACATTAGCAAAACCATGTAAGGAAAACAGAAGAAAGAAGCGATGGCAGAGGTTAATCAATTCTGAGGTTGTCAGACTCAGATAGTTGAAATCTGTGCTGGGAAGTTGAGAAAATGTGTATCAAAAGGAGATTATCCCCTTATTTGACACGATGGGGACTCGAGAAAATGTATTCAATGTTCTTAGTAAAGTCATATTTCTTTTCTGAGCCTTTGAATTATCAACTTCTTCATGACTTGAGAACAATTGGCACTGGTGTGAATATTCATTAATGAAAACAGTTTTCTTTATGTTCAGAACATTATAAAGATGGTATTTTATGAACAGACATCGCTCTTAGTATTGAATTCATAATTTAAATTTGTGATTATGCTCGTCTCTGACGTGTTCATGATCACCTTTACTGCAGGGACTGATGCAGCACCATAAACAAATAGTGGAATACTTTAATACTCGGGGTGTTTCAGCTATTTTTCTCTTCCGAAGGAATCTTTTGCAGAGGATGATTTCAATACTAACAAATTCTTATGATCGGGATGCTAAGCTACTGAATGGAACCCACAAGTCTCTTGTTCATTCGCCTCATGAGGTTCTCATCCCTCTGCTTCTCTTTCTCTGTTGTACTCATGCACCTATCTAAAAGTTTAAACACTCTTACATAACGATTTTCAGGCTGAGATACTTGCTATTTACAAGCCTGTAATCAATGCAACATCACTCTTTCCAAATATAAGGCAGGTTGAAGAGACAACTAAAAAAGCTTTGGAGTACATCAAAAGCACCCGGCATATCATACTTTACTACAAGGACATAGTTAAGAACCGAACTGTAAGAAAACAAATACCAAAAAAAAAAATTGAGATATTTTCTTAGTGAATATTGATCCAATCCAGGGTTATTAAGAGAATTATTTTCTGTTACTTGTGGTGTTATGCAGAAGTTAAGGAGTCGACAGGTAAAGATACACAAGGGATCGTTATTGAAACACATCCAGAACTGGAACGATGTAGAAAAAGCACTCAACGGAACGCATTATGGAAGTTACCTACATGGAGATTACAGGAGGTAAAGCATCAGCATGATGTACATTCTATTCTTGACCCTTTTTTTTTCTCTTTTCGGTTTCGATCTCGAAATGACGGGAGCCAACAGGAGGTGGGGGGGGGGGTAGGGTAGGGTAACCCATCAAGCCACCCTCTTGGAATTTTGGCCATATTGTTTAAAATTAGGTTCACACGGACTATTCTATTCATTCATTGGCCTCTCAACACATCAACTATGCTGTATGTTTTCAATCAGAGGAAAAAGAAGTGCAATGCATATGTTGATAACTCGTAACCATCATGTATTTGGTAAACAAATAAGAACGTGGAAACACGTTATTAACGCGTCTGACATTCCATTTCCAGGGTTGGGTTTGCAGCCTCTTGGTTGGGGAATTGGGTCTCTTTATTTTTCCCACAGCCCTCCTTTTTGACCACCAGCTCCTCAACTTTATCATTTTCTCTAAAATAATTATGATTCTAATATACGCAACTACTTTAAAAGGGCTTGCTTGCTCCAATAAAAAAATTCTGTTATTTAGTTATATAAGCAAAAAATATCTAATATATAAATGCCTATTTTAAGATTTATAAGTTTTATTTAGGGTTTTAGATTGTGAGATTTAGGATTAAAATGAAATAATAACCCCTACATAAACCATAAATTCAGTTTTTTTTTAAAAAAAAATTATTATAATAATTTAATTATTTTATCATTTATATTAAGATCTTTAATAAATAAATAAGTAAATTAAAATATATTATAAAGATTGGACCTAAAAATGGTCAAACTAAGGTTAACAACTAAAGAAGTCCATGTCTATATTACTCCGAGCTTGACTTGATCAAACCTTTAAATCTAATGCTTTATTGAAAATGATAAAGTTTACAATGTGGATTTTATAATTGCAAGTGGTGTAAATTATGTTACTTAAACTAATCATTATTTGTTAGTATTCTAAATAATAAAAAGTAGATATTAACAATAAGTTGATCTAGTGAGATAAGACAGTTGATCTAGTGAGATAAGACATTAGATCTTTTATGAAAGGTCAGAAGTTCGAATTCTGGCGTTTACGAATGGAGCAAACTTGGTTGAGAGGGACGCACTCATCTCTGCTGTATCCAATCTGAATTAATCGGTCAATAAATGAGATATAAAAGATTAAGTAAAAAAAATAAAAATAAAACACATCTATTTAGACGGCATGATATGACCCCACACGACAACCAAGTGGCCTCCCGCCTCAACTCACGGCACGGCACGGCAATACGGGGTCAAATTCTGCTTTTGGCCCTCTTCTTTTGTTTCAAATTAAAAATTTGGTCTCAATATTATCTAGCCTCTCATTAGTTAGTTCAATCAATTAATACTTAATGGTTTATATTTTAATTTGATAAAATTTGATCATTGTTTTATAATATCATTAATTAATTTAATCAATTATGTACTCACTAATATTATCCTAAATAATGTTGAAGTGATTTATTTTATGTTGAAGGATTTTCTATTAAAAAGTTGCACTAATATTGGCATTGTAAAAAATAAGACACGTATATTAATCATTGTAGGAGGACCAAAATAAAAATTTGACCAAAAAAGTGAAACACAAGCAACAACCAATGTTATAACCGAGGTCTTCCACCCAAGAAACGCAGATTCACCGCTCCCCTTTATAAACTTACTTTTCTTAAAACAGTATTTTTTTCTCTCTCTCCGCTTGTTTTTCTTTCTCCTTCGCCTCTCAACGGTGAAAGAGAGAAGAAGAAGAAGAAGTCTTAGATCTGATCGTCTCATCTATCCATACATCAAGATGCAGTCGACCAGCGGTACTGATCTGAACCCGAAACAAGAACAAGAACAACAACCACAGCAGCAACAGCAGCCGCCGCCGCAGCAACGGCCGCAGTGGGTGGCTGGCCAATGGATGGGAGCCATGCAGTACCCGACAGCGGCTTCCATGGTAATGATGCAGCAACAGATGATGATGTACCCTCACCATTATATGGCTTACAACAATCCTCAGTTCCAGTACCAACAATATCAACAACAACAGCAAGGTAAACACCCGTACCAGCAGCAAAGCTGCTCGCAGAAACAGCAAGGGTCTAACTCGGATGAGGTCAAAACGATCTGGGTTGGCGACCTTGCTCATTGGATGGATGAAACTTATCTTCACAGTTGCTTTTTTCAAACTGGAGAGGTAAAACTAAAAAAAATGATAGCAGCAACATATATCATGAACTCATATAGATGTATGTCTTATATGTGAATCTTACTTTTAGATCTTTTTGGTGGTTTAATGAATCTTTTTGTTCTGCATGTGTTATGGGGTTTAAGTGTAATTAAGGTTCGAGGTTTATGCTAGATTAGAGAAAGTGGTAATTATTATTGATTAAAGTGGATTTTTGAAATGGGTTGCAGTTCAGAGCTTGTTTCCTATAACTAAGCTGGTCTTATCAATGTTAGCATAGAGGACAATGCTCTATATTGATCATTAAAGCGTATTGTCGATAATTTGTGGTTTAGTTCCTATAATTATAAGTTTGTGGTTTATTTATAGACACATTGTTTTCAATTCAATGATCAATAGACGTTTGTTGCTTGCCATAGTAAGGTAATACTGAATAAATATGGAGAAAATCTGGCTATGCTGCTGCATCTAGAGGATTAAATTCTAGTTAATGTTAGGTTGTATTTCATTTAAAAACATGAATTAGAATTGGTTTAATCATATATTTAAAAAACCCACAATCCGTATCAAAACAGGATCTCATGTGTTACTGTTAGAACTTCAATGGAATAGTTGGATCCTTTCTTATCGTTTTAAGCTTTTAAGAATAATTGGCCTTTTAATTTAACATGGTACAAGAGCTCTCGGTTTGAGTACTAGAAACACTTCTACCTTTTACTATTCTTAACCGATTGCCTTTTGACTGTATAGTGCTTCTTTAAGCTTTCTTTCAGTACCTGGGTTCATGTAAAAACCTGTTAATTGATCAGCGGACTTGCATGTAAAGGGTGTTTACAACTATAAATGCAAAGTCTTTTCATGCTGGGTGTTAATTTGGGGTGGGGTTTGGAGGTTGGTGATTTGACTATCAACTTTGTTTGCCTTTTGTCTTGCTACGTGGACTTACTAATATAAGATATTTAACATAGATAACTTGTTCATAAGCACTGGAAATAGAGCCATCTTGACTTGAATTCAAAGTTTACCGAGATGGTTATGTGGTAGTTTAAAGTTACAGACAGCATTTGAAGGAAGTGGTTAACTCATATTGGAACTATTTATTTATGAGGATAGCTCTCATGTACTGTGATCTTGTAGAAAGCACTCTTCATTTCTTTGCTTGTATTATTTGGAAAGTTTCAAAAAAGTAGATTAGCTGCTTATTGTGTATCGTACGTTGAACATTTTACTTTTTTTATCATACGACAGGCTCTTGTGAGTAAAAGAACCTTGTTTCTGACATTTTGCGTTTCAATACAGGTTTCTTCTGTAAAGATTATACGCAATAAGCAAACCGGTCAGTCTGAAGGATATGGCTTTGTGGAATTTTACTCACGGACAGCAGCAGAAAAAGTTTTGCAAAGCTATAATGGTTCTTTAATGCCAAATACAGAGCAGCCTTTTCGTCTCAATTGGGCTTCATTCAGTGCGAATGAAAGGAGACCGGAAACGGGTTCTGAGCTGTCTATTTTTGTGGGGGATTTGGCTGCAGATGTAACTGATACGATATTACATGAAACCTTTTCTAGTAGATTTCAATCTGTCAAGGGAGCAAAAGTTGTTATTGATTCAAATACAGGTCGTTCAAAAGGTTACGGTTTTGTTAGATTTGGTGATGAAAATGAAAGGTCAAGGGCTATGACTGAAATGAATGGTGTAGATTGCACAAGTAGACCTATGAGGATCGGTGTTGCTACTCCCAAGAAAGCATCTGGTTATCAGCAACAGTATTCTTCACAAGGTATGATTTCTGCCACAAGGGTGATTGATTCTTCTGTGGCCTTCGATGTAAATCTTTCTCTCTTCAACATTGATGCAACATCCTGATCTATTCACCAGTGAAAACCGGAACTTAAGTGTAGTCGAATTGTGATTCTTTTTCCATTTTATTTCTTTCAAAGAATAAAGTCTTCATCTTAGGCTTGTTTGAAATGGCGGAGTATGCTGTTTCAAATGTTCATCATCTTGTCTTTTTATTTTTTCTTGAGCATTGAGGTCTTAGTATTTTCCCTAATCCTTCTATCATGTTGAATGTATTATATCTGTATCTTAAAGCTTGATGTGAGTTTTAATTGAATCATTATATTTTCACTTCTTTTTTGGTTAGCTGTGGTATTTGCTGGTGGACATGCAGCAAATGGTTCTGTAGCACAAGGTTCTCAATACGATAATGAATCCAATAATACTACCGTGAGTCTTTTTCCATCCTCCGTTGCTATCTTCTCCCCTATATCTACCATTGATCACAAGTTATGTTTCTTGCAGATATTCGTTGGAGGACTTGACTCTGATGTTACTGATGATGATCTGAGACAACCTTTTTCCCAGTTTGGTGATATCATCTCTGTCAAAATACCACCCGGAAAAGGGTGTGGGTTTGTGCAATTTGTGAACAGGTCCTCCCTATATGTACTCAACTTCACCACATTGCACTTAAACATTTGTCGAAGTGTGCAACTATTGTTCAAGTTTCTTGTTAACAGCTCCACTAGTGATAATATCATCAAAGTATTATACACATTTCTAATTTAAGCGACGCAGATGATAGGTTTCTGACAGACAGTGTCGTGGCTACATTATTAATTTATTATCTACTCATGGTGCCTATAGTAATGTAATGTGTATGCTTTGTAGGAAGAATGCTGCGGAAGCAATCCAAAGTTTGAATGGGACAACCATAGGCAAGCAGACTGTCCGTCTTTCTTGGGGTCGCAATGTAGGAAACAAGCAGGTAAATTCTTACTAGGCAACTGTCTTATAGCCTATCTGTTGCCTTGCTCATTGCAAAATGCCCAGCCATCTGTCCCTGGAGAAAAGGAATACAACAAAGTTACTTTATATTATAGAGAAAATGGAATTTCTTGGCTAACTCCTAATTAATATGCCTGAGGCTACGTGATATTATTGTATAGCATGAGTTATACACTCTCCTGAAGGTGGAGATGCACACCCTTCTGCTACTGTTTTACTGACTTCGTAAAACCGGTTTGACAGTGGAGAGGCAATTCCAGTAACCAGTGGGATGGAGGGTATTACCAAGGGCAAGGGTATGGTGGTTATGGTTACGGCTATGGTATGCCATCAAATCAGGATCTGAGCACGTATGCTGCTACAGCTGCTATTCCTGGTGCATCTTGACAGGGAGCATAACAGATGGATCAAAGCATGTACTGACGAATACCGGTGGCTATGTAATATGAGCTATCAGGTGAAGTTTATTTTCCATCAGATTTATAATTTAAGGAGGAAGGGGTTTTGTTTGCTGCTTTAACAGGTTAAAGAATTTTGTTGCTGGATTTAATATTTTTAAACCTTGGAGTTGTTTTAGATATGTCATTTATAACTTTAGATTTTGTTGTGTGCTCTTTATTTCTTTCTTTTGGGTGTGCTTGGGAACCATTTATTTTTGTTTTCATTTGTTTAAAAATTCACAAACAATGAAAGAGGGACCCAGCTTAATCATTAATTCTTTTCATGTTTTGAGCACATCAGAAGATTGAATTTTATGTTGTTTTGTGAGTCATAGCCGTCAATTAAGTGCAAGTCCACTCTACCTCACGATCCCAGCATAGGTGATTAATCCCATAACTGACGGAAACAACAGTCCAAATAATTACCGAGAATGGACACCAAAAGAAATGCGATTTAGACTCGTCCTCGTCTCACATAACACACACACTCGATACTGAAAGTTCCATTCGCATCAGTCGGCCACAGATGGACGGACCATGCAAGAAAGCCATCCACGCTATCATAGCATGCTTCGGAATGCGTGTTGGGAACCACACAAACTTGTCATACGACCTTGTCCTTTGTTCGAACCACGTCCCAAATCTCACAAGTCTTAAGAACCCTTCGGTCCCCCACCACACCAAAGACACAAGTTGCTTCCTCTTTAAAAGAGAAGATCTTCTTCAAGCTCCAGTTCACCAGCCCTCTTGGTTCGAAATTCCACACATCATCACTCTTAGTAAAGTACATGTCGTAACCGATTTTCGTCCGGGCACGAAATATTAAATTTGGCGGGAAAAGTGATGTGAATAAATGGTTTTGAAAATAATTTGGGAGTCGCCATCGGCCTTTTGGGTCAGGTAGGTCGAATACCTAAAAAAATATCTTTTAAAAGAGTTTTAAGAAAACATCAATTAAAAAAATTAAACTGATCTGCGTTTATAACCAAAAATTCGTTCTTTTTAATAATAAAAAGGGATTCGTGGTCGGTTACATTTAGGAAAGGATTAGCACCCCTACAACGCCCAAAATTGGTACTTTTTAATTATAAATTGTCTCTATTATTAAAATTTAAAAATTCAAAAATATATTTAATTTATAATCCTATTATTTTCAAAATTATATTTATTTAAAAATATCTGAAAAGAACTTCTAGGTGCCTTAAGACAGCTCTTTTCTTTGATATTGATAAATATTAATTTAAATAATATTGTTTACTTTTTAATTTTAAAATATCAGAATAGGACATCCAGTTGTATTAAGACTGTCCTTTTCTTCGATATTAAAAATAAATATTTAAAAAATTACTATTTATTATATGTATATTTATGAATATATAAATTTTTTTTAACAATATAATAAAATAAAAATATAACTAAAACAATATATTTTAGGCAGTAAAATGAAAACATATAAATAACTAAATTATAATAAAAATAAAACTAAATCTAATTACTAATTAATTGAAATTATAGGGATTAAATATTTTATTTTCTAATTTAATAATTTAGTGACCAAATGAAATTATCTAAAATTCAAATTTTATAATAAATTAATTAAAAATATGAACTAGGGATAAAAAATTTATTTATTAAAATTAAGGGATTAAATCTGTCATTTATCCTAAATATATTATTTTAATAAAAAGGACTAAAATGAATAAAATTAAAATTCAAATACTGAATTAAAATTATTATAAATTCAGTTTAGTGACCAAAATGTAAAATTTACAAATACGAAGGACTGCGGATGGGGTTTAACTATTTCATAATTACGCGCATAGTCCTTCCCGAAACGACGTCGTTCGGGAAGGACTATAAGAGTCCAAACCGGCTGGCCCGAAGGGCCAGCCATTTCATTTCTTCATTTTTTTTTCTTTCTTAAGCAGAGAGAGAGAGAGAGCCAGAATTCTCTCTGGCCTCTCTCTAGATTCCCTCACCGGAGGGAATCCGGCAGCCGTCTGCCGCCGCGAGTTCTGCCGCCGACCACCGCCGCCGGCCACCGTCTTCGGTGGCCGGAAAAAATATTTTTTATCCTAAATGTAGATCGGACCGTCCTAATGACGGTTCCGATGTTTTTTTCCGTTAAACGGCTCCCAATCGGAGCAAATCTACAATAATACCTTCGGCTTTTCGAAGTTTTGTTGAGATCCGGTGACGGTTGGGGCTCTCCGATGACAGGGTAAGCTTTTGCCTCTCTTCTCTCTTTTTTCCTTGCTGTGTTGATGCTGACTGAGATCGTTGGTTTAGTTGTTGTTGTTTTTTTTTTTTTTCCTTTCTGTGTTTTTTTTTCTTCTCCGTTTTCTGTTTCTGTCTCTGGTTTCTGTTTTTCCCTCCTTTTTTTTTTCGCAGATGGGGTGGTGGCTTTTATAGCCACCACCGTTGTAGCTGTCGGACCGGTCCGAAGAGGGGGCCTCGGTGAGTCACCGGACTTCCAGTGGTGACTCACCATTTTGGGCAAGACGTGTGCGGCTGGAGTGGGTGTGGCGGTGAAGGCTTCTGGAACCAACAGTGGCGGCGATGGGACGTGTCCCTAGGGTATAGATACCCTAGGGTTTCCTCTGGCAAATGGTGGACCGTTGGATCAAACCAGATCCAACGGCTGGAATTGAAGATGGCGGCTGAGGATGATACAAACCCTAAATTGGGTTTAGGGTTTACTATAGGATTTTGGGTCTGGGCCACTGTTTGTAATTGGGCTTCCATTCGGGCTTGTAATATTTTTTTATATATGTATTTAATATATTTAATAATAATAATAATAATAATAATAACAATAATAATAATAATAATGATAATAATAATAATAATATGGATAAAAAATTAGTATCTTCAGCTGCCCCTCTTTGCTCATTCTTGTATTAACAAGAATAGGGCAAAGATGAAAAGATAATAAATTTTTTTATCCATTTGGCTTTACTTTGATCATAATGGATATATTGAATAAATTCTTCTCTCTTTCCAGATGAGTTCTTCTTATTATGAACTTTATGCTGGGGATGATGATGACCTCCTTTCTGTGATAGAGTCATTAAAAAGGTTGAATAAGCTCTTAATGAGTTCTTCTCATTATGAACTTTTTCTAGAAAGGCTGATGTTAATCTATCTCCTTCTGCGATAGAATTATGCAAAAAGTTGAACAAGTTCTTCTTATTATGAACTTCTTCTTCCTTCTTCAGATGACGAGTTCTTCTCATTATGAACTCTACCTGGCAATGTTGATCCATTAAATGATGAATTCAAGCAAAAGGTTGAACAAATTCTTCTCATTATGAATTTCTTCTTCCTTCTTTAGATGAGTTCTTCTCATTATGAACTCTCTGGAAAAGATAATCCATCAATTTGATGAATTCAGGTAAAAGGTTGAACAAATTCTTCTCATTATGAACTTATTCTTCCTTCTTCAGATGAGTTCTTCTCATTATGAACTTTCTCTGGCAAAAATAATCCATCAAGTGATGAATTCAGACAAAAGGTTGAACAAATTCTTCTCATTATGAACTTCTTCTTCCTTCTTCAGATGAGTTCTTCTCATTATGAACTTCTCTGGAAAAGCTAATCTATCAATTTGATGAATTCAAATAAAAGGTTGAACAAATTCTTCTCATTATGAACTTCTTCTTCCTTCTTCAGATGAGTTCTTCTCATTATGAACTTTCTCTGGAAAAGATAATCCATCAAATGATAGATTTGAATCTTTGTTAAAGTCTTTGAAATTCCTGTTAAAAATTCAACATAGATGAAAATGAATATTTTTGTAAACACCTAAAATATGATGCATGAATGTTAATTTATTTGATTTCAGATTGGTGAATTGAGTATTTCTTCAATTGTAAAAACCCAATAGATCTTTCTTCTTCAAAACAAAGAATCTATCATCTTTGACAAATGTAGATGTAGATATAATGTCACAAAACCTCTTGAGAATAAAACTCAATAGTATAGGCTCTTGAAAAGCTCGCATTCAGGCAACATGTTGATTCTGATAACAATTCATCTGATTATGAAGTGACCTTTCAAGATGATTTCACAGATATCGATAGTTCTTCTAATACCGAGAAATCTTGACTTCTGATTCTGATGAAGAGATAAACTGTTATACTTGACAAAAATGTGATTCTCAGAAGCTGAAACTTCAAATAGCTTTCTTCCGGTAAAAGATGGGAAGCCATTATGTGATGATCCCAGTTACAAGCAAAGGCGAAACTTGTGCTATGATTTTTGGGAAAGGAATAAGCAAAAGAAGCTTGAAAAGAAACTTCTTAATGAAGACGATCATGCAGTTCATCTTTTAATTCCAATGATTGGTTCTGTATTTCCTACCAGACCAGATCAGATAACTCAAAGAACACTTCCAGAAGATGCTATTGGTAAATTTATCTTCTAAATTCAATGATTGGTTCTGTCCAACCAGATCAGATAACTCAAAGAACACTTCCAGAAGATGCTATTGGCAAAGTCATCTTCTAAACTCAATGATTGGTTCTGTCCAACCAGATCAGATAACTCAAAGAACACTTCCAGAAGATGCTATTGGCAAATTCATCTTCTAAACTCAATGATTGGTTCTGTCCAACCAGATCAGATAACTCAAAGAACACTTCCAGAAGATGCTATGAGCACATTCATCTTCCAAATTCAATGATTGTTTTTTTTGGGTTCATACCAAACCAGATAACTCAAAGAACAATTCCAGAAGATGCTATTGGCAAATTCATCTTCTAAACTCAATGATTGTTCTGTCCAACCAGATCAGATAACTCAAAGAACACTTCCAGAAGATGCTATTAACAAATTCATTTGTTCTATTTAATGTTTGGACTGGGATATCACAGTACTTATTTGATGTAGAGCCAGAATTTGTAGATTCGAAGTATTTCCATGCTACTACACTGAAAAGGGCTATATTCATAATTCTGCCAATTAAGAACATATTTTTTTTTATTTTGCTTCCTCCATGTGCTGATGCTTTTCCATTGACAAAGAAATGATGGCCTTCCTTCGAGTGTCCAGAAGTATGTTCTTGATGAGTGCTGAAAATGGAATCTAGTAGGGGTTGGAAGGAATAAAGTTACTCTACTTGAACCTGATGAGGTGGAAATGTTTCTAGGTTTCCTTTAAAAAACCATACACAAGGATCTGTATAGAGACATGTTTCCCAGTGATATCAATGTCTTGTTTTTTTTTTTGCCGGAATCAATGCTACAAAAGGTTGCTTTCTATTGCCTTAGTATATCTTTGAAAA